TCCTGCTGCCTTGCCAGCCTGCAATGCTCCCAGGTGTGAGCTCTGCACCAGGACTCTGTGGTCCTGGAACATCTGTGGTCCTTTTGGATCACAGATGTTGCTGGACCAGACAGTCCCAGTTTAGAAAGTTTCAAGATGTTGTATTATTTCCTTTATGCAGATGGGGAAAAATCATGCTGAAAATCACAGGACCCAACAAAGTCAGAGTTGGGCATCTATCACCCCTGTAGCATGAACAGTGCCTAAGAAAGGGATGCACAAAATCCAGCATGTTAGATGAAGTGCTTCCTCTGTTAGTCAATGGGAGATGCAGACGACAGGGGTGTGCCCTATGCCTCATCCCTTTTACAGAGGTTGATGCCTAAATCCGGGCTGCAGGGAGACACCTCTCTCTGTTTGCGATCTATAGCCAGACCCAAGGTTCGCTCTAAGCTGCACGGCAGTACAGCACCGCCGCTGCTTAAGGAGCCCCACCCAGCCACGGGCTCAGTGCTCCCTGCACGGAGCTGCCTGGGTGGGGGAGAGGCACTTCTCCCTCACCTAGAGCAGCAGCTCCTTGCTGAGGACAGAACTAAAATCTCTCCAGCTCACAGGGACTGATTCGCTGCTCCGTCCTCAGCAGGGACCTGCTGCTGTTGCTGAGGGAGAAGTGCCCTTTCCTAATCCAGGCACCTCCCTGCACAGAGTCCTGAGCCGCTGGCTGGGCAGGGCTCATTAAGCAGCTGCGGGGCCATGCTGCCACACAGCTTAGAGGGAACCTTGCCCAGAACTCCCTTTGCTGGAGTCGGGCAGCTTAGGCTGCTGTCAAACTTCACACAAAATGGGGAAAGAAAGACAGAAGACAGTAGGGAGGTTGAGCCAGGGCTTACTTAATTCAGGAGAGTACCCTAATCACTGGACTATAGGTTTAAGGCAGGCATCTTCCGCTTCCAAAAATCTGGGATTTAAGTGCTTAAGTTGCTTTGTGGATTTGGGCCTATATACAATAATAAAATTTAGGAGGTTCATTACTGGTAGAATATTTGCCCAGAAACAAGTTAACCTATAAGCAACAACAATTAAATCTGGTCTTTCATAAAACTCATTATACCAAGGTGAAGGCAAATGTTCTACTCTAAATCACATAGGACAACGCAAAGGGTTAATGCAATTATAAAAACTGAGTCAAATACAATCACCACGTCAACAGCTTTTCCCACTGATGTTTACTCCCTTTGACTTTAATACACTGAAGCCTTGTTCATACTTATGCTGAGATTGATGCTTTGGAGATCAATTTTCTGGGATTTGATTTAGTGGGTCTAATAAGAACACACTTAATCAAATGCTGAAGGTGCCCCATTGACCCCAGTTCTCTACAGGTTTGCAAGAAGTAAGGGAAGTTGATGAGAGAGTTTCTCCCTCCTGCAGTGGGGCCACCCCAGAAGTTTGATTTAAAATATGTTATCTCCAGCTTCACAATTCTCATAGCTGGAGTTGGGTATTTCCAATTGAATTTCTTCCCCTGTATAGACCTGTCCTAAGAGAAGCTTTACACTGAAATGAATCCCTGCTTTCTGCAGCCCTACATACAACAGTAGTGGAAAAAACTTTAGTTTTATCTCAAAGGTAAATTTTTCAAAAACACTTAAGTGACTTAGGAGCATGAGTCTAACTGAAAGTCAATGAGACTTCTCAGCTTCTGAAATTGGCATTTAGGCTCCTTAGTCTCACAGATGCTTTTGACCAGAAGCACTTGAATAGGCTTTGATCAAATTTTATCTCTGAGTACCTGAATAATCCCATTTAAGGCAATAGCACTACTTACTTAAAGTTAAGCATATACTTGAATGTTTTGGTGTATCAAGGCCTCAATCTGAAGAAATCAGATTTTCCAAAGAGCAATAGTTTTATTGAGTAATGATTTCTTTGAAAAATCTCATTGTAAGTGTTTGTATGGAAGCTACTAGCTGCTCGTTTTAGGAAATATGGCCCTGGCCATTTGGCTTTGTCTATACTGTACTGGGAATACCATTGCTCAGAATTTATAACTACAGTGTCTGTCTGTCTGCCTGTATATTATATAATTCTCTTAAAATAATACAAATAGTTTACAAAATTATGAATGCTTCTTATGTCTTATGAGATGGATTGTGTTTGTATAATTTGGAATCTATTTTTTTTAACTCCCACCCTACTACACTTCTAGCAAATGTATGCATAACCAGAAATTCAATCCATACAAGTTTTAAATTTGAAAATCCTTTCAAAATCATTATAATCATTTGACATTAAATATAGAAAACGAGCAATACAAAATGTATAGGAATTATGTGTTTTTCCAATTTCTTCTTGACTTCTGCATATATTTCTATTTGAAGGCACGTTATTTCCTGAAAATCACAATCAAACAAGATAAGAAAATGATAAGATTTATACTTACTAATCACATTTGCTTGCCCAGTAAAGATGGTGTACTGCAGCTCATAAGAGACCACACTGAACTCATCATCTGAGGTCCAGTGGACAGTGATTGTGTCGTAAGAAGCTGTACAGAGTTCTTCTCTAATAGTTGGAGAGTTAGGAGCTGTGAAAAACCAAAAACAACTATTAGTGAAATGAGCTGACTGACTCAATAGAGTACTTTATCTTTCACCTCTGAGATTAATATGCAATTTTTAAATGGGGTTTTCTGGCCATATGTTACCACTGATTTTTAGGCAGAACATAGAAATGTTGCGTAGGACAGAACTTTGGGATGCCAACGTCTTGCTAACTTCAATGGGAACTTTTAAAAAATTGATGATATGGTTCTTAAATGTGTGGTTTAATTACCAGTATCCAGGAATCCGTTTAATAAAATTGCCACCACCATTAATCATTTTACATCTATGTAGCTTTAATATGAATAGCCCCAATGAGCCCACTGATTACAGAGAAGCTCATACTAAAATGACCCAATTGCACCTGAATTAAAAATAAAGGAAAAAAGTGTTCTGCACATGTTTCTTGCTGCTTTTCTCAGACCTTCATGATCACTTTAAAAATCATAGTATTGTTCCTTTCCCAGCAATCGTATTTCAATGTAACATTTTGCAATTTTATTGTGCATTAAATACGTTTATATTTTAAGTTTCTATTTTCAAGTATTAAAGAAATAGACTTTGTTCCAAACAGCATTTCTCTTTTATGAAAAAGAGATAACTGAAAAGCATACGGAAATGCTCAAATGTGTTTCATGATCTGTCCATGATTTGTGCAGCTCTAAATATTGTAGCACAGAAGCTTGTCAGCATATTTTTTCCCAAACCAAGGAACCCTTGGGACACATGGGTATTAACAAAAAGGAATGGATATCAACTCAAATAAGAACATTCATCCCAGAAAGGGAACATAAGCAAAAGAAAAGGAAAACAATACTCCAAAAGGGTATTGCTGCAATTACATAGTGTAGAAAGAAAGTCAAATATCGCAGTGTTGCTACCCTGAGTTTCTCTTTGAAATATTAGAGGTTGATATTCATGGGTTGGGTTTTTTTTTAATACTTATCAGAATAACCTACTGGAGGGTTTTTTCGTTTTATTTTGGTTTTTTTTAAATCCCTCTGTTGTATCCTATTCTTCCTCCTTTGTATATTTCAATTCTTTCAGTTTAGAAAAGATGATTAAATAGAAATAAGCTGATCTTTGTATTTTAGCTGGAAGATCCAATTTTTGTGGGTTTGCATTAAACTGAAATGCTCATGCTTTCATTCTCTTACATACTTAATGTGAAATCATGGGCTAGAAGAAGAATTTAACACAGAATGGGAAGATTTTATCAGATGCACCTACTATGTACCTAATCTTCCCTGAAACTAGAATATGGGGATGTTTCCAGAGCATTACTTAATTCAATGAATGAGTTAGACTTGAATAGTGTGCGTAGAATCCCTCAACATGTGAGGGAAACTACTTGACAGAAATATCTTTCAAATAAACAGAAACGTAATTCAAATAAAATTTGAGGTCTGAATACAATATCCATCCTTGAATGTATAGCCCAAAGCCTTTTGGTCCATTAAACAATGAAATAAGATACACCTTTATAAGTTGTTTATTCACTTGTGATAGATGTTACAGGAGCAGTTTTCTTTAATTGGCAATCCAAGTACCCATTTATCTTCATTGTTTTAACTATTTCTGAACACCATGAATGAGGCAACATAATGGGAAAATTGCTTTTAAAGGGTTAAATTCATTTAATTTCATCACTGTGAACAGAACTTCATTCCACAAATTGCTCCACTGTGTTCAGTGAAACTCCTCATCAACTAAGGTACATTTCATCATGAGAAAAAGGAGTGAAATCTTGCTCTAGCCGTTTTTAATTATTAAATAAAATAACCAAGCACACATGAATGTTGGCAAATATATAATGTCTTTATTTCAACACTTGTGCATAAGATACGAGATAGATTGTATTTTGTGCTCAGATGCTTTGTATTTCCTGTTTGTGTTTTGTATTTGAACCATATCCTATTATCAGTATGAAAAACTAATCTGGTAAAAATATGGATAGGTGGGCTATTCTTAACTGGCTAGCCAAATAATAACGAAGAGTGTTTTGGTACTTTAAAGACTAACAGATTTATTTGGGCATAAGCTTTTGGGCTGATTTATTTGGGCTTTTCTGAGTAAAAACCACTTCATCAGATGCATCCAACAAAGTGGTTTTTCCTCATGAAAGCTTATGCCCAAATAAATCTGTTAATATTTAAAATGCCATAGGACTCCTTACTGTTTTTGCAGATACAAACTAGCATGGGTACCCCTCTGAGACGTGTAGCCATATAATGAAAATATTAGATTAAAAATGTCTAGCTAAATAGCCCTAAACATTATGTAATTTCCCTTAACCTGAATGAGTGTTGTGCAGAAGGGACAAGAAGTCTGATCTATTTTCAGGTGAAATTTGAGTAAAGGGGTTGTTGAATTTAGACATCCCAACTGGGACAGAGTTAAGACTGAGGTGCTTTCTCTGTTGGTATATAGCATGTCCTAGTGAAATCACATCAAAACTGTGAGGCAGCATTTTTAAGCCCTCTTCGAACAATGTCGAGTGATGACTACTTATAGGCAATGTAAAATTAGAGTCCCTGCCATGTTTTTTCTGTTCTCAGTGAATGAATTTGAAATGAATTGTTCTAATTCTGGTTCAGAAAAGGAAACATTCTTGATTTTAGCATTTTTTTCCTCTTTGTGGATGATTAAATAGTCTGTGATTGGAGATTATGCAATTTGTTTGGAAGGGCTCAATCCTACAGATTTACTCAGTAAAATTCCCCATTTACTTTAATGTGATTTTTGATACCGTACAATCAACTTGTATATCCGAGAAAAAGATGACAGCCATTATACAACTCTAAACACTGTATGCTCCTTCAGGTATTTCACGGGTGAAATATACTGCAGATATTGATACACAAAGATTTTTCTCATGGCTGATTCTTTAGTGCGGGTCATTAGAATTGCTTCTGGTTACTGATATAATACTAACCTGCCTTAAACAGCAATTTTACTCTGCCGTGAACACACACACACACACACAGAGCACACAGCAGTACTGGCCTAAGGTAGAACAGGGAACAAATCATGTCTCCAATCAGGCTTCAGATCCAATTTCCCCATTGCTCCAGCAGGAGTATGGGTGGAGACTAATCATGTACTGGGCTCATTCTATTTTCCCTTCCATGTTGACTCACTTGTGCTGGTCAGACAACTAGGCAGGTAGGAGGGACAGAAGCAAAGCGACATATACTCCTCACTTCTGCTCCCTCACTCCTTTCCCTTCCCTTCCCCTTTCATTGCAAATCTGTGATGTGGGTGATCCATGCCAGGAACCGAATGGGGATAGGAACGTGATGATCCTGGCCCTACTATTTCCCAAGTGAATTAATAGTTTAAAAATATACCTGTAAGATAATCAAGGCATTCCAACATTTTTTTCTCCCGGGTAAAATCAAGCGCAAACGTATCGAAAGTATCATTGAGATTAATTTCAGGGATTAACACCTGGGATGATGCCGTAGCCATGGAGACCCTACAATGGAAAAACATAAAGATGCAGTAGCTTTCACATTAATTTCCTAACCATCAGAATCATCAACCCCAAACTGTTACATTTTTTCCACCATATTTTTAAACACATTCATTTAGGACCCAATCCTTTAGTTCTTACTTTTGTAGCAAAGTCCGCAGGGTCAGCCCATTACTTAGCTGATTCTCAATTTTAGTTCTTACTTTTGTAGCAAAGTCCGCGGGGTCAGCCCATTACTTAGCAAATTGAGAATCAGCTATGTTAAACTATTTTACTCTACAATGTTAACAAAATTATGATCAAACATCAAAATGTTTATAAAATGGAAAAGCAGGGTTTTTCCTTTTTCCGTGGAACAAAATTCTTCTTAGTACTATGTTTATTTGCTTCTGCTGTGCATTAAACAGTCCTGAACAGATGCTGTACCTCTCTCAGCCACTGCCTTGTTAAGCAGCTTCCTGCTTAAGGCATTCCTTTGCACATCTGTCTCAAAAATTGGTTGGGGTCAGACTGTCACACCTCCTCCAGTTGTTAAACAAGTTACAAAATTTTTAACTTCGTAAAGGGCAGAGTGAAGATTACACAAACAGACATCAGAATGTTTCACCTTGAAATGCTTTTTGTTGCAAAATGAACATGCACGGTAATGCTTTTTCAAATCTGAAACTCTTTCTTACCTAGCTCACATAAAAAAATTGTATTTATTTTTCCAGTAAACTGCATGCATCTGTGATGAGTTTTTCATGGAAAATGAGGGCTAAGGCAAATACTGTATTTGGAACTTTTCAGGCTGATGTTTCAGATGTGTCAATGGGAATGAGGAGTGTAAGTGGATTGTTCAGGAGAGAATTCATACCTATTTGGGCAAACAGATTCACCTTCCTGCTATTACAGAAGGGAATAATTAATTGTGTAAATCTGGAGGCAGATTAGTTGAGTTTGTTTGTCAATTAGTTGAGTTTGTTTGCCACGGAGGTTAGGTTCATCAATAACTATTAGTCAGAATGGGTAGGAATGGTGTCCCTAGCCTCTGTTTGTCAGGGGCTGGAAATGGTTGACAGAAGAAGGATCACTCTGAGGCATCAGGCATTGGCCACTGTCGGCAGACAGGATGCTGGGCTAGATGGGCCTTTGGTTTGACCCAGTATGGCCGTTCTTATGTTCTGATGTTTCAGAGGGGTAGCTGTGTTAGTCTGTAACTGGGAAAACTTAAAAAAACAACGAATAGTCTTGCAGCATCTTAGAGAATGTCTACACTGGCCCCCTCTTTCGAGAAAGGGATGCAAATGAAGACATTCAAAATTGCAAATGAAGCCGGGATTTAAAGATCCTGCACTTCATTTGCATATCGCATTATGGCGCTATTTCAAAATAACAGATGCTGTTAAGATGCGGTTATTTCGAGAGAAAACTCTTCTCTCGAAATAACTGATGAACCTCATTGTATGAGGAATAAGGGTTATTTTGAGAGAAGGGTTTTCTCTCAAAATAACCATGTCTTAACAGCGTCTGTTTTTTTGAAATAGCGCTATTTTGAAATAGCGCCATAACATGAATATGCAAATAAAGCATGGGATATTTAAATCTCGGCTTCATTTGCTATTTCAAATGTCTTCATTTACATCCCTCTCTCGAAAGAGGGTTCAAGTGTAGACATACCCTTAGAGACTAACAAAACATGTAGATGGAATCATGAGTTTTCGTGGGCACAGCCCACTTCTTCATTTTCTCCCACTTTCCATTCATCTGAAGAAATGGGTTATGCCCATGAAAGCTCATGATACCAGCTGCATGTTTTGTTAGTCTCTAAGGTGCTGCAGGACGATTTGTTATTTTTAAAGTTTTTCTTATGTTCAATCTTCTTATTCATGAGGCACTGATCACAATTTTTTCATTGCTCTGATAAACCTTTCTCCCAAAACAGAAAATGTCATGATAGGGGTTCAAGAGACTCAAGTCTAACCTTCCTCTTCCTTTAACTCTTCAGAATTCAGTTTTCACAAAGGCCTTTTTCTTCACATGATCTTAGGAAATGTTCAGTGGGAATAGAGTAAAAATGCAGTAGAGCACCCAGCCCACCAGGACAGTAAACATGGTTTTCTGAAGCCATGCTGAGTGATATTTCTCCTGTTCTAGAATTGCAGTTGATCATCTTCATCATTGGTTCTGCTGGGACTGTGGCTGGCACTCTGGTAATTATGCTAGAATGTGTGAAGACTAGTGTAGGGACTGCAACTGTGTTCACAAGTAGAGTTGGCCTAAACTTGGCATTCTTTGAAAGACGGCTTTGTTTTGATTCAGAATTCCCTCCCTAAATTTTCTGCTGCAACTGTTAAGTGTTGGCACACAACTTCGTGCATTCTTCCCCATTTTCACTGAAGTGTCAGTAACAATTTAGCTATAATATTTCTATCCCTAACAGGAAAAAAAGAGACTCATTTGTTTCTTTTGGGCCCTATATTAAAATAGCTTTGGTCAAAATATTTGTGTCTGGCCTTCCATACCATAAGCCCCACATGGGGATTGCTAGGGAGCATAGAATTGGATTTGTGAACACAGCAGCTGCTCCTGGGTGTCTTCACACGCCTTATATGGAAAAGGTCTCTACAGTAGCTTTGCTAGGCTGGCTCAATGGTAGTACATGAGTAATGGCATCCACTGTAGTTCAATTCTGTGTCCCACAACTTAATGAGCAAAGAGCATGCAGCAGACCAATGTCCTTCTGGTTCAGAAGTAGATTTCACTGCTCCCAGCCCTCCTGCTTGCATTTCACCCCCATAGCATCTGGTACTAAGGCTTTATGTAAAGAAAGCAGATTTTTATCCCAGGATGAATAATCCACTAACTCAGTGGTTCTCAACTCATTTCAGAACACAGACCACCAGGCTAATCAAAAACATTTCATGGACCATCTCCTTTTTGAGACATGATAAAAAAGAGCAGAAAAAAAGCATTTTGGTTTGAAGTGTATTTCTTACTAACAGATTTTTGGATTCTCTTCTCACTGACAAGCTTTTCAATGTTTGGAGTGGTACCTGATAATGCACAACGAATATCGCTTTCCACTGCAAGCCGATTCCTGTTTAGTCTTAACGTGCAACAAACACGAAAATCCAGTCTCACATATATAAGTTGATGCAAATGGTAAAATAAATCTGTCTGTGCATGCTGACAGACTTGGGTAACTCCCGGTCATGCTGGCCCAAAATTTCTCTATGGTAGGTGCTGGTACAAGTCTTGAGCTGCAAAATCATTTTTCAGATCCAAGAATTCCTCCTGCAGATCCTCTGGTCCACTATTAACATCTGTTGTAAATGGATTCCTGATGAAAAATAATCCATCCCTTGTCCTGTCCACCTCCGGAAAGTATTATTGGAATTTGTCTTGTAGCTTCTGTAAATGATTGAGAATTTGCATCCAAATGGCTTCCTTTTCCCCCAGCATGGCATCCACATATGGAAACTGAACCAAATTATTGCCTTCGACTATTACGATCCAGAGTTCTAAATTGTCAAGACAACAGATTTGCACCTTTCCCTTGCAGCTGAAGATTCAGTTTGTTCAAGATTCCAAAAACATTGACAAGATATGCAAGTTCTAAATTTGATTGCATCAGCACATTTCAGAATTTTGACTGCGTCAGCACATTTCGGAATTCCTCTTTCCCTTGAGCCTGGAGAAATAAATCCAACTCTTCTCTCAATTGAAAAACTCTGTTGAGTACTGCTGACGGTTGTCCCTGCTGACAACCACTGTACAGAAGTGTAGAACAGAAACACATCAAAGTCGGAACCCATGTCCAGGGAAAATCTTTTGAACAGCCTGGTGTTCAGAGCCGATGATTTGATGTGATTCACCACTTTCACCAACCCTTTGAAAACGGCGTTCAGTTGATCAGGCAATGTTTTTGACACCAAAGCTTCCCTATGAATGAAGCAATGAACTCCGATTATCATTGGAGTGTGCTGTTTCACCAGTGTTTGGAAGCCTGATCTTGAGTCCAGCATGGCAGGTGCACCATCAGTGGTGACACCCACAAGATTTACCAAATCCAGACCATGTACTTCAAATCCTGAGCCTTTGTGGTGGTATCAAGAGTCTTACAAAAAAGAAACTCGTCTTTGAAGTCTCCCTCAACCATGTATCATGTGAACACCAATAGCTGAGAGCACAATGCGACGTCGGTCAATTCATCCAATTGTATGGCAAACAATGGAGACTTCTTTATTTCATCCACAATTTGTTCACTGTTGTTCTGAGATATCTCATTTATCCGTCTCAATACTGTGTCGTTAGAGACAGATTGATCATTCAGCTTCCTTGCTGCTTCCTCAGAAGAACAAGCCGCACCATCTCTTTTGCACAGGGGAGCACAAGTTGCTCTACAATGGTATGAGGCTTCTTGGGCTGTGCAACTTTGTATTCAACAATGTAGGAAGCACGCACTGCATTGCTTCTCTAATTGTAGAATGCACTTGAGTCGAAGCGCTGCCGTTTCAGACCTGATAACTGCCGCTCAAAATAATCTTCATCCTTTTGCAACAAGTTGGGGTGACACTTTTCGAGATGGAGTTTCAGCTTAGCCAGCTTAATTGAGTCATTCCCCAATACTTTGAAACATATAATACATTGTGGCAAATCCATGCCTTCTTTTTCTTGACAAGTGAAGCCAAATTTGATGTAGTCCTCTGAATGCTTGTCTTGACATTTCTTCCTGTTGTTGCCATTATAAACAAACTACACCACACCTGTAAAACATCACATGTAGCACAGGACGAACGACACAGCAACCGCTCAGCATGACGGCGGCAGCTACACTGACACTCAGAGTCTCAGATGGAAGTTACTGGCAACACAACATGGTTGCGTCCTAGGTGACACACGGCGTAAAACAGCCTAACTGCGGCGCCTGCTCACGCCATGTGACTTTGGACAATGTTCCTGTGGACCACCGAAAAAGTCATCATGGACCACCAGTGGTCCATATACCACCAGTTGAGAACCCCAGCACTAACTAAAAACTCCTGTGGTAGCATGGTTTCCCACCAGGCCTGCAGCAAATAATTTTATACTGCATTTCCTTTGAAATATGTGCATGAAAAAATTCAGTGTACATAACTTTAAGAAATCAGTTTTAGCCACTGGAGTTTCAGGGCCCTGTGGAGGTGACTACAAGTATACTCTAGAAGCAAGCAACGTTTACACATCACTAGAGCTGAGAGAATCATTTGTTGTGAATAATTTATTGAACAAATTTAGCCTCTTTCTCCATTTTGTAAATTGTCTGTGAGCAGTTTATGATTTTCTCAGATTTCTTCTTATTTGAAATTATTTATTGGTCCACAGAGTATTCACAAATGGAGCTGGCTTAAAGTTGAGATTTCTGGAGTGCAAGAAATTTTGAAATGTGGTTTTGTTTTGATTCAGAAATCCCTCTTCCTCTAAATTATCTTTTGGAAACACAGACACATGGTGTTTCTGAAACAAAAGATGCTTCCCAGAATGACAGCTGTTGGCTACTATTAGCAGTGGTGAAACTCACAATTTCACTCAACTACTGCAAGAGCTCCCAAGATCTGTAGCTCCAGGGCATCCCTGCCATGTGGACTATCCTGGAGCCAGGCACTCAAATCTTCCAGACTCCCAGCTGTTTTGTTCCAAGACTGCCTGTTCAGGAACTGAGCATCATAGGGACCCAGCAGTCAAGGTCTTGAAGCCTTTGTGATTCTCAGCCAGAGCTGCCTATATGATATGTTTCTTAGCCTAGGAGCTGCCTGCATTAATGTTTATGAGCTCAAAATAAGACTTCCCATGAATATTCCCTCACTGAAAATATCAACTTGGACTTGAATAAAGATAATAATTGGTAAACGCACAACAAAGGCAATCCCCCTGCCTTTGATATTCACATTTACACATCAAATGCTATAAATGGGACACATCCAGCCTGACTTCATTAGATTCATTAACACTGGTCCTACAATTGACAGGTTACTGCTTTTGCTGTTATATATAGACCCTGTATGCTGTAATTTCCACTCCAACTCATCTGATTAAGTGGATTTTAACAATGAAAGCTCATGACCAAATACATTTATTAGTCTCTGAGGTGCCACAGAACTGCTTGTTATTTTTAAAATGTATTGTATCTTTAAATATTACTGCCCAGAGATTTAATCCTCTAGAATATTGAAAAGAGGACAAATTCCCACACTCTTACTCATGTTGAATTGTAATTTATTGTAGGAATGGTCCTATTAACTTCAAAGGATTGGCTTGCAGAGTAAAATACAATTCACCATAAGTAAAGGTAAAAGAAACCGGCCTATAAAGTGGGTTTAACACAGCCAAATCAAATATAGGTTCCACAGATGAAAATTCTATTGGACATGGTGAAATTTACATACCGTGTAAATTTACAATAGATCCACTGATGTCAATGGGACTACTGCAGAATATGTAAAGTTAAGCACATGTAAATAATCTTGGCAGGACCAGGGCTTAATTTTTTATTCAGGAATAAACTGACATTCTAAATCTTCTCCCAACACTCCAGTCTATGCCACTGATTATATATTAGATATAAAGTAAAGACAGCTTTGCAGAAGGAAGGATTTGCTTGGTTCTCCACTTGAGTGAGCCGGAGTTTCGGGCAGCCTAGGGAACCTCAGAAATGGCTTGAAATTCCCATTCTTCAGGAAATGTAATTTTTTTCCCCACTTTGGTATTTTACTTTTGAATTTGCACTTTCAAAAGAAAGGGAGATAATTGTGTCTGGCCAGATTTAATTATAATTGCATTTATCTCTAAACTACCAACCAGTATTAATCAATCTCCATGTATAACTATGCCACTGTCTTCATCTATGTATGATGAGGGTGATGTTACAATACTTTAAACAGTTCCATTCTCACGTGTCTTTCCTCTTTTAAACAGATGTTTTGATTTAATATTATAGAAATACCCATGATATTTTAAGGCAACACCAATGATCACTAGTGTAGAGTAAAACAATTCAGACCCCCTTTATTCTTCAAAAGCACCTTCAGCAAGGCAAGGGAGACAAGAGGGCAATCATAACCAAACAACAGCTCAGAATTTAAGCTCTTGAATCTGCCAGGAGGAAATTTCTTAGCAGTCCATGTCATTACCTCTCTGTGATATTTTTAGCAGTCTGCAGGAAGCGTGCATGATCACTCTCCTTCAGAGACTGTTCAGCCTGAGAGATGAGCGATGTGGAGCGCTCAATACACTGTTTGCAGTTTGCAATCTGCTGAGCTAATTTTCTCAGTCTCACCACCTTGAACAAAAACATAAGAAGACAGTCATATCTGTGGGCTCACAAATCACATTACCATTTACACATTGTGCTCATGGCCATAGTGCAAATGGGGTGTTAACATCCATAGCTAAACTGACAAGGAAGAACTTCTTTTCAACCTGCTGCATTAAAATAGGCCACATACATTAGCCAAGTAGAAACCATGTGCTATTTTACAAGAGGACAGTTTTGTTCTTTTTACCTTGACATTTTCCACATTGGAAACAACAGAGAGAAGCCAAAACAAACACAGCCTATTTTTCTTCACCATGAACGTCATTTCCTGGCACTTTCTGCTTACATAATAACTAAACTGTATTTTAATAACCATTTTCGTGAAGTGCTGAAAAATGTGTTAAGAACAGTTTATAAGGTTCGTTGCTTTTCTTTAGTTTTGAACTGATTTACACAAAAATGCCCTGAAAACAAAACTTGACTCAAAGGATTGGTTCATGTTATTTGACAATAAAATGAAAGTTCATCCTTTTCATTTTATTTCATGTTTGTTCAGATCCTAAACTGCCTTGTGGAATTAATTTGGCACCGCTATTCCAATAGAGATTTGATTTTACTTCAGAAGCACAACAATACAAATGGAGACTTGATTTTGCTTTTCCTATCTGTTGCAAGGAGATAGTCAGGAAATCCACTTGAGATATGACTTTGTCATGGAAAGTAACATTAGTTGGAGGGCTAGGGAGAAGACCCATCAATCTTCCTTTTAGAGACAATGTTGGCTCCTGAAGCCTCTTAGTTCCTGAAAACTCTGGGAGTCTTTCCTATTTCTATAAAATCATCATTCCTTACCACCTCCACATAGTTCCAAAAAGAGAGGGGAAAGGAAGGAAATCTAATATCTTTGGACCACAGAAAGACATTAAGCCCGGGTTCCATATAAAAACAGGAAATTTAATGATTAAGCAGATTAGCAAAAAGATCAGAATCGTATACTAAAGTTAACAAAAACTCTAAGAGTCTCATTCATTAAGTAATTAACTTTGTAGTTGTTCATTCTGCTGCCAACTAATGGAGTGCCATGAGACTTATGTGTCCTGAGTGGAAGTGAGGGTCCATATTGATACACTTTATAGCAACAGAGTCCACAAGCAAAAATAAAATATTCCTTTTAGGAAACTTTAAAAAATGTAATATTGACCAAGACTGAAAATCTTTTAACACTTATATTTTTCCCCAAAATACAAGTAATGAAGGGAGAAAAATTGCTACAGAAACATACAAATTGTGATTAGGGTAATGTTCTGGCTGCTCTCTAAAGAGATCTACTGCTATAGCATATTCAGTATGGTGGCTGCTACTGTTGTTGAATACTCTCAGGAAACAACCATTTGTCACACATTCTTCAACGAAAAAAGGTCATCATATACTTTCAGAATGATGCATTTTGGGGTATAATCTACCAAACAACATCTCCCTGTCCTCAAAAAAAATTAAGGACCAGACTGTATAACACTACCCACACGGTTGAGCACTTAAGGCATGTCTACGCTACAGAGAAGATCGACCTTCTAGAGGTCGATCATTTAGCATTCGATTTAGAGAGGTCTAGTGTAGACCACTGAATCAAACTCTGAGAGAAGCCCCCACTGGGGTCTGGTATTCCTTGATCTGTGAGAAGTAAGGGAAGCCAAAGAGAGCATATGCTCTCGTCGACCTCTTGCAGTGTAGACGACACAGCAGCGCCGAATCTAGCTACACATTTTGTGTAGCTGGATGGAGTACGATAAGCTGACCTGCCTGTTCTAGTGTAGACCAGACCTTAATGACAAGAGTAGTTCCATTGGAACCAGTAGGTAACTCATGTGAGGAAAGGGGGTCACAATCAAGTCCTCACTTAACTGGTAATTTCTCATGAACACACTATAAGGGGGGTAGGTAAATAGTTAGGAGAGGATCCATTTGTTTAGCTACTGTACAGATATTGGCGGTTGTCCCATGCAGAGCAAGACAAGCTCTATGTGTATGTTCATAAAGAGACAACACTTTGGATTATATTGCACTAGGCAAAAACATGTTCACTGTCTGAGCTATTCTGTGGCAAGTAATTAAGTGATAAATGTCACATGATGCACATTAGCCATCAACAGACACTTTCCTGCTTGGCAGGCCCAATATCTGACGTAGCGTTTTTCAGCTTCTTAAAATAAAAAAATGGATGATAACTCTGGAAAGGAAGAATCTCCCTTTCCCTGTAGGAATGTTCTCTCTGAGTAACACATCTCACCTGATTGATATTTAAATGCCTGATTCAGCTAAGTACACTTCATATGATTACACAAGTATACAACAGTGCATTAAGGGCTGCGCTGCTGCATGTAGCCACAGTCCCATGTCAGAGCCCTCAGCCCTAATAACTGAAAGCCCCACTCCAGAATCCATAGCTTTCAGTCACAAGGCCAAAGGGGCATTTGGCAGGTACTGTGCCTCCTAGAATTCCTTTGTGGAATAGCTGGTGTACCTTTTTTAAAGGTGTAGTGTACACTCTTTTCTGTGGCTTTGCTGGTCCGTGTGAAGAAAGGAGGGACAGGACATGGCTCTACCTCTTCCTTCATCTATTAACAGTGGTTAGTAGAGAAAGATGGTAGCCCTATCTCTGGGCTCCCTGGGTAGATCTAGAACATTTTGTATTTATTTTCCAACAGTTCTGAACAGGTTTTCATAACACGTTGATAAAAATATCTGAGCCCTGTCTATACTAGTGCTTTCCTCCTGGGTGGCGCTGGCACCACTGCTGTACCACTATTGGAAAACAGGTAGAAACAGTTCCAGTGTCCCACCAAGAGTCCCATTGTGCCTGGCCTATGGTGGGGTTCTTGTGAAATCCACATTCCCGTTCTGGGAACAAAAAGTTCTTTAATACTTATTTAAAATATTTCTTAACAATTAATCATCAGCAGCAACCTTGTCAGTAATGAAAAGCCTCATCAAAACAATTCAGAGGGTGCAAGTGATGCAGACAGAGTGACATTTTAGAAAGGAGCCAGATTTTTTAAAATATTTGTCGAGTTAATAGCCTGATTATTTTAATAGAAAAAAGAATTGGGCAGAACACTGTTGAACTCTGCAAGTTTTCATTGGTGTGATTAAGATTAGAATCTGGAGTAGGCTCTTGTAAAGATGAAGTCCATACGCATAATGGGCAGCTTCCAATCAATAGGAAGTTTGCCATGAACTTTGATAGAAGCAGAGTTGGTCTCAATGTATACATAAATACAGCCAAGAAGATTATGCAGAAAGGCTGTCTTGATACATCTTGAAAGGAGATATATTTTGTTAACATCACAAAGAAGTTCAAGTTCTATCAAATAATGAATGGGACTGTGGTCTTCAAACATTTTTAAAATCAGTCCTTGCCTACAGGCTTTTTTAGTTCAAGTTAATTGGAATATCTTGACAGCTAAGTGAACCATTTAACCTACCCTTGACTTTATTCCTTGTTGAGCTTTTCCCACACAAGAAGAGTTTATGTTTCACTCTTTTTAACAGTTAAAGAGTAAATGCCATGCTCCAAAGGAAGCTGAAATAATGATCTAAAACTAAGCTGTTCTTTGAGTTAACAGGTAGCCAGATCGCTTTAAAACTTAAATGCATATCTGGTTTGTTTTAGTCAAAAGGTGGACACTAACAATTAAGGATGTTAAGAAGCAGATAACTGACTAATCGTGTAGTTGATACAATTTGTATCTACTATGCAAGTAATTGATAAGGGGCCGCTGCAGCTCTGCAGTTTAAATATAGTAGGAGCTGGGTGCACAGGCAACCCAGCTTCTACTGCATTTGAACTGCAGAGCTGTAGTGGGGGGTAGGTCTGGGACCTGGCGCAAGCTGGGACTGAGCAGTCCCAACTCCTACTGGGTCCTGGACCGCTGCACCTTTGTCTCCCCTGCCCCTCCTCACACTGCAGAGATGTGCAGGGGGTTCCACCCACGTCTGCTTCTCCCTCCGCCTTGCCTCCTCTGATACAGCTTACATCCCTACTAACAATCACTTTTAGTTGCATACATCTCTATTAATAATCACTGTCCTGCAGTTATTAGGAAAGCAATGACATCGAATTTACATTCTCAATATTTTTAGATGGTAACAACCCCATGTCCCTTTCTGTAAAATATAAGTTAAACTTCCCCATTGCAATCTAAAAAAGTGTTACTTTTAAAGTAATTGTTCCCTGTATAAATATCTTTAATAAATCATTTAAGTTTATCTGGAATAAAATATTCCTGCAGATCAATGGAGAGCAAGTCCTGTGATTCAGTAAATTCTTGCAATGGGCAAATGCCTTCAGATTTCTGATAAAGTGAAATCAGTTTCTTTAGTCCATCATTTTATTAATTAGTGTTGATAACTGAAATTACGTCCCTGTTGGAAAAATATTATATAAATGATCTGATTTTAATAAAATATTTTTCATCACAAATAAAGAACCTTATATGCCGAAATCACATAAAGTTTGATTAACACTAAATAACAATCAGTAAGTATTAAGCTGTGACTGAATATTTACCCAATGCAGACAGTATCTCGCTTCACCTAGAAGTAACAGACGCCAAGGAGTATTCAAGGATTCTTTTAAGTGTGTATTTGTAGCACATTAAGTCGAGAGTCATGGAAGTTCAGAGTATGAAGAAACACTGATAATCCATTTTAACCTTTGGGAAAAGAGCTCTTACCTTCCCTTCTTTGATTTTGGTTCCAATAATTTGTCGTCTCTGTTGGATTATTTCAATAAGTAAGTCACATTCCTCTGTCAGCTTGGTTTCTTGTCGTGATGCATTCACCTGAAAAGCAAGCCACCTTGGTTAGAAAGGTTCTGGTCGTTTAGGAAAAAAAGTATTTTTAATTTTGTTTTACAAATTATGTTTTATTTTCCCTCTGCTAGTCCTTGTGAAATAATAATATGAAAATGCTATTGGGCTTTTAAATAACGTATCACTTTACAGACTAACTCATCAGCATTTTTTAATCCAAGTCAAATATGGGCTATTACTCTCTGGTGCTGTGAAACCTCAACTCTAGTTAGTATCAGGGAGAGCTGAGGTTCCTTACTATTCCTCAGTGGGTCCTTAGCACTTCACAGAATAAGTAGGGTTCAAATAAAGAGCATTTATATAACTTATTACCACAGCTTATACACAGCAGCTTATGGAAAAAATCAATTGTTTAATACACTAGGGCTATGTCTACACTACAGAGGGTTTTTTTTCCTGGAAAAACGGCTGTTTTTTTCCGAAAGAACTTCACTTATGTACACACTGCAATTGCGTTCGTTCGATGAAAAGTCAAAAGAACAGAGGGGTTTTTCCAACATTGGTAAACCTCTTTCTACGAGGAAGAAGCCTTTTTCTGATAGAGCTCTTTTAGGAAAAGGAGCGTGTGGACGGGGAAGAGGGAGTTCTTTCGAAAGAAGAGGAAAGAGGAAAAAGCACAGGTGCTTTGGTGGCCACTCTGCCCATAGTAATCACAGCTTAAATGCGAGATAGCGTTCATTCAGTGTGGACGTTATGTTTTGAAAAAACAGACGGCTTTTTCGATGTGCTTTGGCGGTATGGATGCTCTCTTTCGGAAGAAGTGTTTTCAGAAGATCTCTTCCGGAAAAGCTTCTTCCAAAAGAAGCCTGCAGTCTGGATGTAGCCTAGGTGGTTTTGAGATGCCTGCCATTCTTCTCAGTAACAACATAGCTATGAAATAATTGTGATTAGTGAGAGAAAGCAAGAGAGAGATCTTAGTGTTGGTCAACATTTTCATCAGACTGTTTTTTAAATGGAAATCTGATGGTAGCTGACAAAAAAAATTCCATGGAAAATATTTATTTTCTGTGTAAAATTTCAATTTGTGTAACCCCTCACATACAAACTGATATCCCTCATCCCTCCAAACAAATCCCAGAGAAGATGTTCTCTTTTTAAATTTTAGTCAAAAAGCTTTTGGATTTTCAGTTTTTCAATATGAAGTCAAAATGGAGTCTATGGAGTTGTATACACAAAGTCAAAAGTATAACAGTTGTTTCAGAGTGTATCACTAGTTGAAAGAAGGAATTTACAGTACAGATGTTGTTTAAAATTCAGGCATTACAAAGAACACAATGCTTAAGGAAATGGGGTCAGGCTGTTATATCTCATCTTTACATTATCACATTTATACAGTGCCACAAGAATGAAATTTACCAACATCTAAACTGACAGAAGTCAAAAGTATAACAGTTGTTTCAGAGTGTATCACTAGTTGAAAGAAGGAATTTACAGTACAGATGTTGTTTAAAATTCAGGCATTACAAAGAACACAATGCTTAAGGAAATGGGGTCAGGCTGTTATATCTCATCTTTACATTATCACATTTATACAGTGCCACAAGAATGAAATTTACCAACATCTAAACTGACAGCTCCTTGCCTGGCGAATAACAAAAAGGCCTTTATCCAGCAAAGCATTTAAACATGTATTTATCTTTAAGCATATTAATTAATACTTAGAATTAAGCACATGATTAGATGCTTTATTGGATCAAGGCCATTTTTACAAAGTTCCCTCCTATTTCAATAGTCTTTAAGCCCCTCAGCCTAATGGTAGATTGCAATCCCCTGTTTTTATTACCATATATCCCCTGAAATCTTCATACAAAAAATCAAAGGTTAACAACATACTCCATAAGCTAGTAAAATAACAGAGGTAGCATTTTTGTACTGCTTAAAAATATTTCCAATACTGAAATGTTGTTTGATCCAATAACCATGGAGAAGTGGGCCTGAGTTGGGCTACTGAGAGCAGGAGATGTCTGCCCTGATTTAGGTGGAACGAAGACATAGGACTGTCTTTCATGAGAATTTGTGCTTTAAAGATATTTTATTAATGTATTAGATCAGGTAGTCTGTCAATGTAGCTGGGCCACAGCAGAGCCGTGACTGGCTCTGCAACTGCAGAGTTTTAATGGCTATTCAATGCCCACGTTTGAAGCTTCTCAGCCTCCCTGTGCTTGCCTCACTCCACGTTCTGTTCCTACCCTGCTCCAGCCTAGACTCTTCCCTGTACCTGGTCTCATTTGAGTCCCATCCCGGCCTTGTTCCGGCCTTCCTGTCTAGGAAGGAGCATGGCAGAAAGGGATCTAGGGGTCATAGTGGACCACAAGTTGAATATGAGTCAACAGTGTGATGCTGTTGCAAAAAAAGCAAATATGATTCTAGGTTGTATCAACAGGTGTGTTGTAAGCAAAACTCGTGAAGTCATTCTGCCGCTCTATTCTGCACTAGTTAGGCCTCAGCTGGAGTACTGTGTCCAGTTCTGGGCGCCACATTTCAAGAAAGATGTGGAGAAATTGGAAAGGGTACAGAGAAGAGCGACAAGAATGATTAAAGGTCTAGAGAACATGACCTATGAAGCCAGGCTTCATGAACTGGGCTTGCCTAGGTTGGAAAAAAGAAGATTAAGGGGGGACATGATAGCGGTTTTCAAATATCTAAAAGGGTGTCACAAGGAAGCAGGAGAAAATTTGTTCCTCTTGGTTTCTGAGGACAGGACAAGGAGTAATGGGCTTAAAGTGCAGCAAGGGAGGTTTAGATTGGACATTAGGAAAAAATTCCTAACTGTCAGGGTGGTCAAATATTGGAATAAATTGCCAAGGGGGGTGGTGGAATCTCCCTCTCTGGAGATATTTAAGAACAGGTTAGATAGACATCTGTCAGGGATGGTGTAGACGGAGCTTGGTCCTGCCTTGAGGGCGGGGGGCTGGACTCGATGAGCTCTCGAGGGCCCTTCCAGTCCTATAATTCTATGATTCTATGATTCCCTAATTTCAGGGAATCTATTTCTGACCCTGGGTCTGGTTCCTGGCTCTGACTCACTTCTTGATTTTTAGCTCCAACATTTGAACTCTGAATTTGACTTTGACCTTAGGTTCTGACCTCTACGACCCCGATCTCCTGACGCATGGTCCTGCTGGGCATGTTTGTCATCCTGCAGCTCTGAAGAATTTCTTTTGACAAATTGTACTATTTCCTAGCCACAACCCTGCCCTTCTTTTGACTTCTAGTTGACTACATGGATGGACATTTTTTAAAACAGAACAAAGAATCCCAAATTGATGCAAATTAGGGTAAAACTCAGTCTTGGCATAAGTGGGTACAACTCTTTTTATGTAAATGCTCACTTATATTATGGATGATTGGTGCTGAGATTAATTACTTTATTGTTTAAAAACAGGATTTCTGACTAGTTTCCACTCAATGTATAATTTCTATCCCCATTTATATCACTGATTAAATTAGCCTATTGGACCAAATTCATGTTTAGTGTTAGTCCCCAGATGTCAGTGGAATAATAGTATGGCTAACTATAGCCAACAATGTTTTTTTCAGTGCTAAGTTTAAGAAAGGGGAAAAATAAGATGCATCCACCAAAATTATATGATTCCAAAACTTTTCCTTTTAGATACCTTACTTCAGGCACACAGATTTCTCTTTCCATTGAAACTAGAAAAAATAAACTATTTTTAAATTCTTTTGAACATATATCCAATTTTTATAGCTTACACAAAATTATTACATTTTCCATTTTATTTCAACATTTTTGGACAGTGTGTCCCACAACTTCTATTGAAAAGCTAATTAATTTTGGAGGTTATTCTGATCCCCTTTCTCTCTGGAATATTGATATATTATTTTATTATATTTGCCGGCTACATAGATCTATTGAGAACAAGGTACCTAATTAAGCACATGCCTAACTAACTTTAAACACCAGCAAAGACAACGGGACAACTTATGAACTTAAAAAGTTATGTCTGTGCCTACATTCCTTACTGAATTGGGGCCTTAATTGTTAATTTAAGTCTAAATTTCTGTAGCTTTAAAAAAGTTTTACAACTTTGCTATTTTATACTATGAAATTTACTTGAAACAGACTGGTAGGGCTTTGTGCTTTGGCTGCATGATATTGTTCTCTTCTACCATGCAAAAGATAAGATTTGATTCTAATTTTGTTATGAAAGAATCATTTTTATTTCTGCAGTGCCTAAGGACTCTGAACACGCACTATGCAACCTGAAAACAGGAAGACAATTTCCCCAATCTATGATTTAGAAAATGTGCAACAGGTAAAATAAACCAAATGGGTTGGGGTAGAAGATAGGATGAAAGGACAAGCTTATAGTAGTAGCCTAAGCATAGGCGTGCGCAGCACATTTCATTAGGGTGTGCACCCAAAGAATTAAAAAAAAATGTACTTTGACCCCCCCCATTACCCACACCCCGACCCTGTTAACCACAATCATCCAGATAGTGTGGTTCAGAGAAGCTTAAAAACAAATCCCTTTGGTGGGCAGGAATTTTGTACATCCTTCGTATTAACTTTACAGATACCCATTGGAAACTTGTTTCTCTGTGTGAACTAGGCAAATACAGAAATCAAAGTATGGGCATCCTTTCATTGGATTGCTTAGAAGTTGAACTGTGAATGAATTAATAATGTTAGGGGGATAGAAAAAAATCAAATGAGAGATTTTTTTTTTGTTTACTTGTTTATAACATAAGGATACAGAGGAGACAAGGATACAGAGGAAGTAGAGAGTAAGGTAGGCTGGATAATTTGCTCATCTTGACATGTGAGCACAGACATGCAAATATCTAAGGCATATTAATATTTGTTCAGCTCTTGTGGAATTTCAGTGGAGGGCACATACTTTCGGTAGCGTAGTGGGGGTGCTGTCTGCTCTGTATCCCAGGGTCCCCCTGAGCTGTGATGTATGAGTCCCACTGACTCACCCATATGTTGTGATGTAGTGTCAGTA